AGGAAGGAAGGAAGGAAGGAAGGGAGGAGGGAGGAGGGAGGGAGGGAGGAGGAGGGAGGGAGGGAGGGAAGGGAGGGGAGGGAGGGAGGGAGGGAGGAAGAGGCAGAGTTATCGAGAAAGAGGGATAGGGAGAGGGAGAAGAGGATAGAGGGAAGGAGGGAAGAGAGAGACAAAGAGAGAGATATTGATCTACCATCTGCTGATTCACTCCCCAATGGTCCCCACCCACAACAGCTGAAGCCAGTAGCCTCCATCCAAGTCTCCCACATGGGTAGCCTGGAGCCCAAGCAATCAGGCCATCATTGACTGCTTTCCCGGGCACTTAGCAGGAAGCTGCACTACAAGTGGAGTGCCTGGGCCAGCGTTGCAGACAGCAGCTTAACCTGCTGTAGCACAACACTGGATCCATACCATTTCCATTTATATATTTCATGTCTGTATTTCTCTCAATATAACTGTCTCACAAAACGATCTGGCTCCTTGATTTCAAATTATCCTTTTTCCTTCCTGCCTGGATTCTCACTGTATCATCCCCGCTAATTATTAAGGCAATCAGTAATTTATTTCAAACCAAAGAACAAGCTCCTTGCTCCATTACCTCTAGGCTAACGGGTAACCCTTTGCTCAGGGCCAAATATAGCCACAGCTGCTTGTTCACTGGTAAAATTATATTTAGGTTAGCATAAACACATATGTACAAATCTGATAGGTTAACATATGTGTTAATCCAATAGGTTAAATCCAAGAAGAAAAAGCAGGTGTTAAATATATGAATACAATTAACTTCATGCATGTTTACAATGTCTCCATAATTCAGGTGTCTAAGCCTATTTTCAAAACCACTCAATCTTCCTATGCTATTAAGGTTTTTCTTCCTAGCTTATTTAATGTGACAGGTTTCTAACACTATAAACCAGTGGGGGAATTTTCATTACATAACACCTACACAGCTGAGAGAATATTGGGAAATTCTATTTTTCCCAATGGCAAATGATAAAAAGAAGTGATCTATTCCTGCAGATTAAAGCCTGTTTCCTTAAACTGACACTCCCTCATGCGGAGCCAGGGAAGCTGTGCACTAGTATGATAGTCATCTTCAGTCTGGGCACTGACAGCACTGGAACAGGCCAGAGGTAATCTGCTCTGCAAGGCAGAGACCTCAGATTTTATAACTTTGTGTTCAAATTTCACAGCCTGAGTTTTGTTTGTTTTTGAAAGGCAGAATTAGAGAGAGAGATCTTCCATCTGCTGCTTCACTCTCCAGATGGCTGCAACAGCCGGGGTGGGCTAGGATGAAGCCAGGAGCTTCTTCTGGATCTCCCACATGGGTGCAGGGGTCCAAGGACTTGGGTCATCCTCCACTGCCTTCTCAAGTGCATTAACAGGGAGCTGGATTGGAAGAGGAGCAACTGGGACATGAACTGGTAACCACACTGGATGCCAATGCTGTAGATGGTGGCTTAACCTGCTGCACAACAGTGGTGGCCCCCACATTATGTGTTTTATTTTTACAAGTCCTGTACTTCTTCATGGAACTAGTATCTGTCTACACACAAAATACCATGAGTTACCTTACACTTAGCTTCACCCAAAAGAAATTTTTTTCCAAGATGAAAGTCTGATACCTGACCTCTCTCAAAGTCTGCACCAGTGGGGACAGGATAAACCAAGTAAAGACATATATAATCGGCCGGCGCCGCGGCTCACTAGGCTAATCCTCCGCCTAGCGGCGCCGGCACACCGGGTTCTAGTCCCGGTTGGGGCGCCGGATTCTGTCCCGGTTGCCCCTCTTCCAGGCCAGCCCTCTGCTGTGGCCAGGGAGTGCAGTGGAGGATGGCCCAGGTGCTTGGGCCCTGCACCCCATGGGAGACCAGGAAAAGCACCTGGCTCCTGGCTCCTGCCATCGGATCAGCGCGGTGCGCCAGTCGCAGCGCACCGGCCGCGGCGGCGATTGGAGGGTGAACCAACGGCAAAGGAAGACCTTTCTCTCTGTCTCTCTCTCTCACTGTCCACTCTGCCTGTCCCAAAGAAAAAAAAAAAAAAAAAAGACATATATAATCACAAACTGTCAGAAGCACAAGCAACTTCACAGGGAGGAAGGGTCAAGAATGAGTAGGGAGGCAGCAGGAAGTAATTCACATGGATGACTGGGGTGCTCTCTGCAGAGATTTTGCTTATGGTAAGAAGTGAGGTTTGAACAGAAACCAACCAGTCAGTCAACAAATATTTACTGAGAATGTGTATTTGCCAGACTCTGTTCCAGGTGGTGGAGACATAAGCAGACATCAGACAGGTGGGATTCACATCCTGAGAGAGCTTACATTCTAATAGGGAGCAATAATGAACACACTGAAAGCATATAGTAAGTTCAGATACTGAAAGCACTACGACAAAGATAAACCAGAAGAATGTTCCAGTGCCTGGAGGGACTGCTGGGCATCACAGAGCCTCTGTCAGAGGCAACATCAAACTAAGACCTGAGTGCGAGAAAGCAGCGCAGCAAATAGCTGGTGAGGAATATTCCAGGCAGAAAGAATGGTAACAGTACAAAGGCCTGGTGACGGGACTATGCTGGGCACACTCAAGGGAGGGAGGAAAAGCCATTAGTGGCTGCAGCAAAGCTGGCGAGAGGTGACGTTAGAGGGGACAGTAGCTTGAACCAGGAGCTTGTTTTATTTATTTTTAAAGGTTTATTTATTTATTTGAGAGGCAGAGTTACAGATAGAGAGAGGGAGAGGCAGAGAGAGAGGTCTTCCATCCACTGATTCACTACCCAAATGGCTGCAATGGCTGGAGCTGAGCTGATCCAAAGCCAGGAGATTCTTCCGAGTCTCCCACGTGGGTACAGGGGGCCCAAGCACTTGGGCCATCTTCTATGGCTTTCCCAGGCCATTAGCAAGGAACTGGATCAGAAGTGGAGCAGGTGCTGGAGCTGTGGCGTAACAGGTAAAGCTGCACCTGCAGTGCTGGCACCCCATATGGGAGTCAGTTTGAGTCCCAGCTGTTCCACTTCCCATCCAGCTCTCTGCTATGGCCTGGGAAAGCAGTGAAAGATGGCCCAAGTCCCTGGGCCCCCGCACCCACGTGGGAGACCCAGAAGAAGCTCCTGACTCTTGGCTTCGGATCGGCGCTGTTGCGGCCATTTGGTGAGTGAGTCATCGGATGAAGACCCACCCCACCACTCTGTAACTCTGCCTTTCAAATAAATTAATAAATCTCAAAAAAAATTATCGAAGTGTCTGGGCTCAACTTCTGGCTTCTCTTTCAATCTAGCCTCTTTCTACCTGGAGGTAGCAGGTGATGGCTCAGAGGCCTGGATCCTTACCAACCATGTGGAAGACTCAGGTTGCATTCTGGTGCCTGGCTTTGGCATGGCCCATTCTGGCTCCTGCAGGCATTTGGGAAATGAACCAAGACAGAAGATCTCTCTCTGTCTCTATCTTTCTGCTTTTCAAGTAAAAATTAAAATAAGTATTTTTTAAAAAAAGAGTGCTACTCTGGAACCTACACTTTGAGCACACATGCCTCCCAACTCTCTGCCACTTACATGCCTTAAGACTTTGGATAAATTATTTCAAGTGCCATTGTCTCCTTATGTGTAAAATAGGAGTAATTCAGGAGAGGGCAAGTATATGTCTATACAGCCTTGCAGTAATTTTTATAGTATAGAGATAAGCAAGTTATACAACTTAACACTCTAATAGTACTCAGCAATAAAAAGTAATAAAATTACGATAATTTAAAAATAATTATGCTGAGAGGCTAGCACTGTGGTCTAGCAGGTAAAACCCTCACTTATAGCACTGGCATCCCATATGGGCATTGATTCAAGTCTGGCTGCTCCCCTTCCCAACCAGCTCCCTGCTAATGCACCTAGGAGAGCAGTAGAGGATGGCCTGGAACCCTGCATCCACGTGAGAGATCTGGATGGAGAAAGCTCCTGGCTCTGGACCAGATCAGCTCTGGCCATTTTGGCCATTTAGGGAGTGAACCAGCAGATGGAAGATATCTCTCTCTCTGTCTTTCCCTCTAACTCTGCCTTTCAAATAAATAAATAAATTTTTAAAAATTTTTTATTAAGTTATGCTAGGTAAAAGCCAGATCCCACCTCCAAAAAGAGATAAAGAACACATTGTTATGATTTCATGCAAGTTATTTCAAGTATATACAGTACTTGAGAACAGAAACAAGCCTACAGTGACAGAAAGCAGAACAGTGGCCACCTGGGGAGCTGTGGCAGTGGGGAAGGAGGGGCTGTGAACTACTGCGGGGAGGGCGTATGTTTGAGATCAGTATCTGGTGGTAATGGTGGCTTTGCAGAGTTACACACACGTCAGAACTTACCAGATTATATATATGCTTTTTATTTGTGCGGTTTTTATTGCATGTCAGTTATACCTTAATAAAGCTGTTTTGAAAAAAAGGAATAACACCTCATAGGATTCTTATGAATATTTAATGAGTTAATACACATACTATGCACTGAAAAATACTGCTATTATCAAATCTATGACTCAGATTTAAATACTAACTCAAATAATTTTATAGTACTTCGATGGGCAAAACCTTATAAAAACTAACGAAAAATAATGCCTATAAAGTTTACAATGCATTAAAGAAAACAAATATTTTAGTTTAAGACTCTCAAAGCAATGAAAATACATTTTTTTTTAAATTGGCTTTCTGTGAGCAAAGCATAGTGCGAAAGGTTTTACAGATTATTTCATGAAATCCAAATAAAAATCCTTTGAGATAGATGGTATTATCTCCATTGTCCACATGAAGATATAAAAATTAACAGTATATCACTTGCCCAAGTTCACACAGTAAGTGAAAAAGATTAAACAGCAGATCTCATGGACTACAAAGTCCATGGAAATAATTTTTTTTACTTCACTGAGAGGTCATTTGTTTGTTTTAGAAAGGAAGGTTCCACAGAACCTGAACTTTAAGGAACTTGGCACTCTGCTACATAAAGTAAATAAATTAGCATCACTTACCATATCTGTAGCTTGATCTTCTTTCCTTGTAATTCAACTGTTTTGATCTTAAAGTCTATTCCTACAACATAGAAAAAAAGTACGTTGTAATTGTAGCTTTGTGCTTGACTATAAAATTTACTGGAGTAAAAATGCTTATTACATTTTCAGACACTCATTTTTGGAAGGCTCTGGATAGTCACCTGGTATACAATGTTAAACAGATGTGTCCAGCTTTAAACCTGAGGAACAAGATCCAGAATGGTAGGAGAAACAGCTATGGAAAAGAAAGCGCTTGCAGGGGCCGGCGCTGTGGCCCAGTGGGTTAAGCGCCTGCCTGCCGTGCCTGCATCCCACATGGGCACTGGTTCATGTCCCGGCTGCTCATTCTGATCTAGTTCTCTGCTGGCCTGGGAGAACAGTGAAGGATGGCCCAAGTGCTTGGGACCCTGCACCCGCCCAGGAGACTCTAAAGAAGCTCCTGACTGGCCCAGCTCTGGCTGTTGCGGCCATTTGGGGATTGAACCAGCAGATGCAAGACCTTTCTCTCTCTCTGGCTCTACTTCTCTCTGTAACTCTGCCTCTCACATAAATAAATAAATCTTAAAGAAAGAAAGTACATGCAAATTAGGAAATGAGTAAACATCCAATATTTTAATACGTAACATAAACACATTTCCTAGTAAGAAATTCTGATTGCCTTCACCAACTTGCAGAGCAAAAGAAAACTACCAGGAATAAAGAGACATTTTATAATGATAAAGCTGTCAATTCTCCTTTGTGAGGAAATAAAGGTAGGTAGACAGAAAATCAGTAATGATGTAGAAGACTCAAATAACACTATCCACCAGTCTGACCTAAGTGACATTTACATAAATCACCTAGCAACAGAATACACACTCTTTACAACTACATGCTGAATGAGTAACAAAAGGGCCATAAAAGACATTTCAATAAATTTAAGAGTATTTAAATCACATAAAGTATGTTTTTTGTGACCACAAAAATTAAAATTAGAAATCAGTTAACAGAAAGACACTCAGAAAAATTCCTTAAAGTTTAGAAATTCATAGGTCAAAGAAGAAATTACAATGAAAGTTAGAACTAAAAAAGAAAAAAAATATTTATTTATTAATTTATTTGAAAGGCAGAGTAACAGAGAAGGGGGGGGGGAGGGAGGCAGAGAGAGAGAGAGAGAGAGAGAGAGGTCTTCCATCCGCTGGTTCACTCCCCAATTGGCCACAAGGACCAGGCTGAAGCCAGCTCACACCAGCGCCCATATGGAATGCCAGCACGCAGGCAGCAGCTTGACCCACTGTGCCACAGCACTTGTCCCAAAAAGTTGTCCTTTCATTTAGATTGTAGTCCAAATTTTTCCAAAATGAAAAGCTTTTCTGTTTCTTCAATGTTTTCACAGGATAAGACTGTGAAATATCCTTCAGTATCAAAGTCTTGGGACTACAAGAAATATCCCTTCGATCCCATTTTTCTCTCTCACTTGATACATTCTACTCCCTAAAACCTCTTCTTATCCCAATTCTCTTCCAGGTGAACTCCCATTTATCTGAAGCTCCAGTTCAGCTGTTAGGGAACAAATACAAAAGATCTATCTATCCAAGGCGCACCTGAGAGTGAACACATTGTGTCTCGTCTCACAAATCGTCATCACCACCACCAGGAAGCAAACCAGGACTCACCAGTTTTTGAGCAAAAGTAGGGATTTTGAATCTGTTTAATTAGAATTAAATTCTCAGCACCTCATACAATGTTTGACAAGTAGCAGGCATTCAAAAACTGATTTGTTGAATAAACAGGTAAACAATGGTTTTCTCATAAAAGTAAAAGGGTCCCCTTAGCAGGGAATAAAATCACACTTGAGAGGGCCAGTACTGTGGCGCAGCGGGTTAACACCCTGGCCTGAAGCACCGGCATCCCATATGGGCAAATTCCATATGGGCACTGGTTCGAGACCTGGCTGCTCCACTTCAATCCAGCTCTCTGCGATAGCCTGGGAAAGCAGTAGAAGATGGCCCAAGTCCTTGGGCCCCTGCACCCACATAGGACACCCAGAGGAAGCTCCTGGCTCCTGGCTTCAGATTGGCGCAGCTCCGACCGTTACAGCCATTTGGGGAGTGAACCATCGGATGAGATCTCTCTCTAACTCTGACTTTCAAATAAATAAATAAATCACACTTGAGGTGAAACTCCATACCTGACAGCTCTACTCTTAGCCACCTTGCTTCCAATCAGCTTTTGAGTCTCAGGCCAAAGACCCCAATGAGAAACCAAAACAGGAAGGGAAAAAAAGGGATACCGAAGTACAGGCAGAGGAAAAGGAGATTATTTCCCATCTTCTCAGGACAAGACAATCCTACAGTCTTTAAATGGGGAGAGATGAGACACAATACCAAACAGAAAAATCTTGGAAATTTACAAAAAAAACATAGTACATTTAACTGGAAAGTTGAGAAAATTGAAACTAGTCAGAAAATATGACAAAGAATGAAATACATGAAGTATAACAAGTTACAATATCCAATCAGGAAGTCAGACATCAAACGAACAGTTCGAGAAAGAAAAGAGAAAATGATATGCAGAAGATTACACAAAAAAGCCCTTAATACATTACGCAAAAAAGCCTAAATAGAACCAAAGTAATCTACTTTTAGAAATTAAACAACACAAGTCTCCAGTGTAGTGAATAAAACGTACTAGCATACCAAAGCACAGAAGGTGAAGCTTCAGAACACTAGGACTAAGCGATTATTATAAAAGATGCAGAGAACAAACCCGGCCACACTGATGACTATGGCAGCTTTCACTTTCTCAACAGGACATTACAACCCAAAAGACAAAAAATAGTCTAAGTATTTTTTTCTTAGGCCAGCATTGTGGCGTAGTAAGTTAGGCCACCACATGCAATGCTGGCATCCCGTATTGTCAGGCAGAAACCCAGACATGAGTGAATGGGGGAAGGGCCACAAGACCCTTCCCTGGGGTGAAACCAAGAACCTTGTTTTCCCCTGGGACACACCCAAGACTGGCCACTTTGCAGAGAGAGCCCAAAGGCATGCAACTTCCACACTTCAACCATGAAGGTCAGCACCACAGCCACATCAACAATCAACATCTTTAAGCTTCAGGGATAAAAGTCCCAACCCAAGGAAAGGGGGTTTTCTTTCGGTTGGCCCTTCCTTCCCCTGGAACCTACTTTGATAAATTTTGCTTTACAATTCCTACTTTTGTCTCTCTGAACTGTAATTCATTATTCTGTCAGCACCAAAGAATTAAGGCCAAGCTGGCTGCCAGTGACAATATCAGAGGGCTGGTTCAAGTCCTGGTTGCTCTGCTTCTGATCCAGCTCCCTGCTAATGCACCTGGGAAAGCACTAGATAACTGGACCAGTCCTGGCTATGGCAGCCATTTGCAGAGTGAAGCAGCACATAAAAGAGACTGCTTGCTCTCTGCCTTTCAAACAAATCAAATCAATTTTTTTTAAAAAGAAAGAAAACATAGGCCGGCGCTGTGGCATAGCGGGTAAAGGTGCTGCCTGCAGTGCTGGCATCCCATATGGGTGCCGGTTTGAATCCTGGCTGCTCCACTTCCTTTTTTAGGAATACAGTGGTTCTTCCCCCCATACAAGCCCTCCCAACCACACTCCTGTCCCACCTCCTACACCCTCTCCCATCCCATTCTTCATTAAGATTGTTTTTAAATTAACTTTATATACAAAAGACCAACTCTACGCTAAGTAAAGATTTCCACAATTTGCACCCACAGAGAACACAAAGTATAATGCTCCATTTCCCATCCAGCTCTCTGCTATGGCCTGGGAAAACAGCAGAAGATGGGCCAAGTGCCTGGGCCCCTATACCCGCATGGGAGACTCAGAAGAAGCTCCTGGCTCCTAATTGGCACAGCTCTGAGAGTGAGGCCATCTAGGGAGTGAACCAGCAGATGGAAGACTCATCTCTCTCCCTCTGCCTCTCTGTAACTCTGCCTTTCAAAAAGGAGAGGAGGGGAGGGGAGGGGAGAAGGGGAGGGAAGAGGAGGGGAGGGGAGGGGAGAAAGGGAGGGGAGGGGAAGGGAGGGAAACAGAAGCAGTGTTGTGTAGTGGGTGGAGCTGCCACCTGTTCCACTTCCAATCCAGTTCCCTGCTAGTGGCCTGGGAAAAGCAGTTGAGAATGGCCCAGGTGCTTGGGCCCCTGCTGCACACGTGGGAGACCTGGAGGAGTCTCGAAGCTCCTGGCTCCAGCCTGGCACAGCCCTGGCCATTGTGGCCATTTGGGGAGTGGACCAGCAGATGGCAGGTCTGTCTCCCCTCTCACCCCCTCTCTGTCGTTCTAAGTTTCAAATAAATAAATAAATCTTTTTTAAAAATTAGAAGAAAGAAAATGATATCCCCAAAGAACAATGATTTGGCACACTGAGCAGGAGAGACAATTTCAGAATCAAGGCCTCTCTAACCTTCCTTGTTTATCTATCCAAGAGCAAGGAGGAGTTCCCTCTGAAGGAAGCTATTACAAAGGGAAAGCAGTTGTCTTCAACCTCCCCTCCCTTACCCTGAAAGCTAAACCAGGAAAATAACAGTCATCTGCCTTCCCGAGGGCACTGCCCACCTGTGCACAGAGGGTGAGAATCTAATACTCTCCTGCCACCAGACATTCCTGGTGGTCTCCTCCCACCATCTCCTGAAATACTGACAACGGATGCTTTAGTTAACTGCTGAACAGAATAGTGTGCCATAACTGTAGTTCCTTTTTGGACAACTTTGTATGGTAGTTTACACATTAAATTTGCCTAGAATTCAAGGTACTATCTTTGCTTTATCCAGAACAGAATTGGTGGGCCCATTTCAACTGTTTTTCATTTAAATTCTTTTATATTATTTCCTCCTTGCCAACTCATCCCCAGGAGGCACCCATCTTGGACCTTTCTCCTCATTGTTCTCTAGGCCAGTGTGACCTGCCCTTTGACGGTTTCATTTCTTCTTCCTTCTTGGTTGGGTAAAGCAATATCCTAATTCTCATCTTAGAAAGGAAGCTTCCACAGGAAGTTCAAACTCTAAGTTCAGTAACGGAG